AGGAGGAGGAGGAGGAGGAGGAGGAGGAGGAGGAGGAGAATCTCCCATTAACTTCAAACATTTATTTTACTATCTGCAATAAAGGCTGTGTGACTTGTAGCTATGGAACTGCAGCTCGCCTGGTTTCTTGAACCTGCATACCTGTGTGCACACATATACACACAAACATAATGAAAGAAAAAGCGTTATGTTGCCTTGTGTATGTATGTGTCTTTGTATGTTTTTGACATCTGACTCTTTTCTTTTTGCTTTTCGTCTCAGAAATGGGACAGTAGCCTAAATTATGACAGAAAACCCTATCAGATAATAGGGTTCTGAAGTGGGTTCTTTTTACTGATCTTAATCATCTGCCAAGCAAGTGTTTTAGATTTTATTTCTCACTTTCTATTCTGTTCTTGTATTTAAGTATTCTTGACCTATATTATTGTTACAGATGAATAACCTAAATATGCATTCATATTATTTCTGTTCTGGGAATAATGTCTTGTACCAGTTACTCATTTACTGCAATGAAAATATGGTAAAATATCTGTTTTCACTCTAATGAGAATTTTGAGAATTATGTACAGCTAAAATAGAGTCTGATTTTTTAAAGATCAGAGTGGGAAATCGTACTGGAGGAAATGAGTGTGTTGCTTAATAAGGAAAAGAAACAGGAATATGGATCAGTTAAATATGCATAGGTAATATTCCTCTTAGATTACACCACTTTGGATGGTAGGCAGCTGATTTCTTTTTATGTGCACTGTCTGACAACCAAACTGAACTTAAATATATGCTATTTTTATAACTAACACAGTTAGTTATAAAATGTTCTCATTAATTCCAGTCATCATCATTTCATAGGCATGGATCCCAGTATTTCTTCTGTGGACTTTAGATAAACTGGAGTGTTGGAGGCCCATTTTTCAACCTTTGCTTACATTGAAGGAGTTGGGGGAGGGTTGGAAGGTTTAATAGGCGAAAGTGGGTGTGTTAAGCCTTTCAGAGGTTTAAGGCAGCCATTTCACCTCTTAAAAATTTCTACCTGTTTTTTCCTCTGTTTCTGGGGAGAGGTTATGGCTCCATTTTTACCTCTTAAATTCTCCCCTAAGGTAGAATATACCGGGAAACAAACGAATAAACAAACAAGGAAACCAAAGTGTCTTCCAATCATAACCTGTTCACTCCTGAATTAAAGCATCTTATCTCTCATTCCAGCAACCTCATTTGCCTTGCTTCTTTGAAAAAGAAAACAAATAAACAACACCATGATCGATGGCAAGTTTGATTTAATCCTACTTGACTTACCCTTAATATGAAAAAGAATCAGACATTTCCTGGGAAACACTTGCTGATCTGACTAACGGCTATGGAGCATGTGGACGCAAGTGTCCATGTACCCTAGTAGTACACCCAACAGGTCTGGGCTCCCAAACAACCACAAGAGGGCAGCAAAGAACACAAATTTTCTGTATGTCTCTGCTGCCATCTTGTGTTCAGTCATATGTATGCAGTCCAATTCTGGTTTCCCTACCCAATAGCATACTTACATTTCGTGAATCTACAGCTGCATACATGATGTCCATCCAGCCTTTGAAGGTGGCCTGCAAACAGAAGTCAGGCAATTATTTTTAAGACAAGGGAACAAAAGCGTACAGCAGATAACCCCTGAGTGTTCATGTTGTGAGTGTATTTATAATGTCTTTTAGAAGACTCCATGTTCCCCCACTAATTTTCTCTTTCAAAATCATAACATGAAGTCACCGTGTTTACTATGTCCCTCCTCAGAAAATTAAAGTCATTGCCATTCCTCTCCAGCATCCAAATATATTCCCTTTATTTTGGTCACTTTCCCCTTACTTTTTGAGCAAAGCCAAAGTGAAGGAACCATGGTGAAAGACAACAGAAGTTTCCCCCTTTCTCCCCATCTCTCCTCCTTCTCCTTTCTCCATTTGTACCAAAGTAATCTAATTTATTTACTTGTTCACATGTTAGATTGATATCCCGCCTTTCATGCATGAGCTCTATGATTATGTAATATGTCACAAGCTGCATTACTCTAGGCAAGGATAGATGGGAGGTGAGGGTTGTGCAGATTAAGTAAAAACAGACACAATTTTCACTTTTCTTATTGTTAGATTCCAAACCTTTTTGGGCTTGGTCAAGCATTACTAATATGATTGTGACAATGGCATAGTGTGCCTTCCTGAACTTTGAAAAGGTTCACTGTTATTTTATTATTACTCCTTGCATGGTAAAGAAGCATTTCCTTGCCACAGCCCACATATATTCAAAATCTGTTCTGGAGAATTCCTGAAGACTCTGTACCAAATTCTGCTACAAGCAGGAAGGAAGGTGGGTAATTTCCCATCAGGCCATGTTGAATTTCACCCAGAGTTGTGTTCTGTCTAGCCACCACTGCTAACCTAGGACAGCTCTGAAAAATGGCCATTCCCTATATCCAATTCTCTTTTCCCCAGCCATGGAGGATTTCCTTTGTCAAATAGGGGTAAGACTGCTTGATTGCAGTATGATAGACATGTCATGAAACAAACAAAGAAACAAGCAATCTAACACAGGTGCTTCTGCATATGCATTTTACTAATGATCATTTTAATTCACAGTTAAGATATTATTTATACTGCTTGCAAAAAGTTTGCTCACAGGTGTATTTTGGAGAAGAGCTTAGAAGAAAAATATAAACGAATGCCAGCTATGTTGCAAATCAATCCATTTCAAAACCAGGCAGCTTAAATGATTCATTTGTAAAGTGACTGCCAGCTCATATTGATGAAATTTTCTAATAAAGGACAAACCTGCTGAAGGGAGGAAATAACATTAGAGTGTTAATGTAGAAAGAATGACTACTTACTACTTGAAGCAAAGAGAGGTAGCCAAGTCCTACATTATCGAAGTTGACTTTCACATTTTTCCATCGGGCTGTTTCATTTCTTTCGATGAGTTTCTCACACTCAGTCTGATTGTCAACTTCATCAGTGCTGAACATTTCCCCAGTTGAAGTATTAACGCAGTGGTAGAACTTGCCAGCAAAGAGATTCACTCCCATAATGCTAAAGATTAGCCAGAATATAAGACATACGAGCAGCACATTCATGATAGATGGAATTGCTCCCAAGAGAGCATTCACCACCACCTGTAATATAAAGTAATGAACAAATGACCCCAAAGAAGGGAAAACATATTGGCTGACGTGAGATACGAAATGAGGAATTTCTGATTCATAATTTTGCTTCTTGGCCATTTTGTGCTACAGTTTAATCTCAGCTGAGGGTAGTAATAGCAATAATAGATTATGAAAAAGAGATCAGGATGCAGTATAGATATTGGTTTGAACCAAGAAAACTCCAAATTTAGGATATGGTTTGAGGAAGAAAGACTTTCTGGAAGTTAGTTTCACAAAATTGAAGAGGAAGGACCATAACATGTGGAAGAACATGTGTAGAAGGTTTTAGATTCTGATCATTTATAAACAGATGCATCCTTGTGCTAGCTATGAAAAGATGCTGCATAGCACACACACACCCTCCGCTTAACAGAGTTGGCGGGAAAACACAAGAGGAATAGAAATGGAATACTTCATAATCTGCATCTTGTAGGAAACCCTACACATGAGGCAGTCTGATTGTACAACAGAAGCCTTATCATGGAGCATCCCACTTTCTGGGACATTCAGCTGAGACAGAGATAGGTTCCCTGGACCTCAAACCATAAGTGAAGTCCAGTTTTGTGGCCTTCTCGTGTGACCTCCAACTGTGCTGCTGAATTTCAGAGGTGCAACTGGTGCAATTTTCTATTATTTTGAGATGGAAACAAAATACAAGAAAACTGCGGAGTATATACTAAAGTAGGCCTAGCATGGTTTTCAAAGGCCAAGAATAACATCCCTCCTTCAACTGGGAAGGAAAATGTAAAACCCTGGCCTCTCCAATGTGTGTGATGGTGCTCTGTCTACTTTGCATCACCATCCCGCCTGCTGCAGCCCCTGTCTGACTGCTAAGCTAGGAGTATTTCAACTAACTGGTAATGGGGAGACCTTTAGGTACATGAGACTGTGGGTAGCCAAAGCTGGGTTAGGCAGACACTTTATTTAATGGGGTGTAATGGATTTTCCTATGTACCTACAATTTTGCAGTGCACTTCAAATTCTGAGTTGTTGAAATAATAACAATAAAAATCATTTAAATATGTGTCCAGTACAGTACAATAGTATTGTTCTTGCAGAACAATAACCTTTCCTCACACATTTGGGGAACCAAGTTGCAATCAGAGGAAATAGATTCTAAGGAAATCTGAATATTAGCATTTAAAAATCAAATAACCCTCAATGTTATTATTCTTACATTACTCAATCACTTCCTCCATAACAGTTTCTGTAACCAGCTGGGAAGGACAGTCCAAGTGCCATAATGAAACAACAGCCTGGTTAATATGGTACCCTGACAACACCTATAGCAAGGAAAACGTTGTGTAGCTGCAATTGTGAGTAACCCTGGAAAAATATGCATAGAGCCCCCTCAAATCCCTTGGTTATTTTCTATACCAGCATCAATAGGGCTAGATAGATCTGCAGAACTGAAGGGGAAATAAACCTCTTGATTAAGGTTACCCATGTAGTTCTTGCTAATATACATCCTAGCTGGGACATGAGCTCCAAGGATTTGGGTTGGCCATCAACTATGGAGCAGGCCCCAATCTATCCTCTTGATTTTTGGAATCAAGTAGTTTCTTTAAATGATATATTGTTTTTATTTGGGGCAAGGATGCAACAGACAGGATTAAAAGTACCACTACTTTAGCTAGCCTTTTTTTCTTTATTTTCTTATTTTTAGATTGGGATATCCAGCATTGGAGAAATATGGGTTTAAGTGAAAACGAATAATCCGACAATGTAGTAAAGAACTGCCTTCAAACAATGGTTTGTCATTGCTTAGGTATACTGGAATTATTTCCTTCATGTTGCCTAGAGGCTAAGGGAATAGAAGTAGCATGCTCCCTAGGGCCACTCTAAATGAAATTTAAACTAGCGGCTTTGACACACCCATTTGTAGTATACCTTTAAGAAAATAATCTGTTTCAAGCATATGTTATTTCATATTTTTCTTACCCTCATTCCTTCGAACCGTGACAAGGCTCTTAGAGGTCTTAAAGCTCTTAAAGTCCTAAGTGATTTAATTGCACCAAGTTCAGAGTAGCCCAAGGCATTCGCTGTTAAGCTGACTATAGAGACCTACACATGAATAAAAGAAAAGAAGGTAATTTACTGGGTGAATCAGAGCCACCAAGTGTTTCTCAAGAAATCTCTTTGGTAACTTTGCAGATACCTCTCCAGTCAGTCATATCATCATCTAACAAAATCAAACTAGTTCAGAGGAGAATACCTTCATTTTGTCATAGAAGAGTTTGGAAAAGACTTATACTAGCCTAAACCAAATATTAAGAGAAGCAGGGATTCTGCAACTAAGCAATGAAACAGATTCATTCCTGGTTTTTGGGTTTTTTTGCATCCAGAGTGAAATACTGTATTTCTATCTGAGAGCAAACTGAAGAAAGCTAATGGTGTTTAAGGGAGACCTAACACCAGATTTCAGATGCTTGCCCTTCATTCTAGGGCATAATTTTCAATTCCTGAATGATGCATATCACTAATAATTTGTGATGGAATGGACTTATGAAGGCT